GGGGTTTAGGGGTTTAGGGAACCCTAGCAAGCCGGTACACCCGAAAAGTGCCTGATGTGTATAGGAAGTGTCAGGCTCAAGGGAGTCTTCGTCTTCAGAGAGATCCTCCTTGACATGGGCTTGGGTTTAGGGCTTAGGGTTTAGGGTTTTAGGGTTTAGGGTTTTAGGGTTTAGGGTTTAGGGGTTTAGGGTTGGGGGATCAAGATGCTTAGAAAAGGGGCCTTCATAATTAGAAGAGGGTTTTGGGCTCACTTATCGTAAAATCATAACTAGGAACCCCCCCCTCCAAAAGAATAATTGCTAGCTATTTAGGCTTCTATATTAGGTGGTTCAGGGTCTAGGGTTCGTTCCGCGTGAAGGATTTCAGTTCAAGGTTGTAGCCTTAAGGGGTCTAAACTTTAGAGGGTGATGCTGATGACAGTCTCTGTGATGTTCTGGTTTATAGGACAGGATTCGTAAGAGGTTCAAGCCTCATGACACAGACGTCAACAAGACCCTAAAACCCTGCGAATAACAGAGCGATTAAGAGTTTCGGGTCCAGAACGATTCGGTGGTTGCGGCTGCGACTTCACGTACTGCACAGATAGTCAGAAAGGCACGCAGATTAGCGTATTGGCTTTGATAGCGTCTTACACGGCTTCTACAAGGGTTTAGGGGTTGAGAGGGGTTGAGAGCTTTAGGTTTGGAGTTGAGAATATATATATATATATATATAGGGTTTTATGTTGAACCAGCAAGGACAGCTGCGAGCCAAACATGAGAGCCTGAGCAATTAAAAGATGGAGGGTCTCGGGATACATTAACAAGTATTTGTGTGGCTATACACATGTATACGTAATATGTACATTTCTGCATGTGTCTCTCTGTACACACATAAACACATATGTAATTATATATATATATATATCTATATATATATATATATTTATGTGTGTATATATATATATATGTATATATATATATATGTATATATATATATGCACACGCACTGTCATATAGGGTTGAGCTTTTCTGTGCGCAATCGGGGGTGTTCGTACTGTTTATTAGACAACACCTCGATAGTACAAACAGCCACATCGAGGGAGAGCCCGAGCCTGAGCTGAATTTCGGCCGGACCCGGCACAACGAACCGGCAAACGCAACAGTCTTGAGGGAGTACCTCTCATTGTAGTTCCTTTTTTCGGTTTAACCAATTATATACTTATATATTAAGGATTCTATAAGGTATCCCCAAAAAGGAACTACAATGGAGACTATAGGTAGAGTAGGGATTCAGGGCTTCAGCTAGGGTTTCAGGGTCTATGGCTATGATATGGCTCTGAGCACTTTCTGGGCTCGAGTGAAGCCTCGCTAAGCCGCTAAAGCCCAATCCCAACCCCTCAACTGCGACGTAGTCCTAATTAGGGTCTAGGGTTTAGTTTAGGGTTTAGGGTTTAGGGTTTAGGGTTTAGAACCACAAACCCGCAAACAGTTTAAACCGAGCTGCTGATACTTTGAGGCGGCACTGAGGACGGTCACCTCGGTCTTCTTACTCTCTGTCCTGGCCGGGTCTAAGGGCTCAGGGGGCGGATTGAATCGAATTTTTAACTTCGGGATCTGTGGCCCCACAGGACTTACTTCTTAAGACTTTTGGGTCAAGGTATAGTCTACGTGGCATTAATTCAACGGCACGTAATCGCGTTCATGAGCAGGTATAGGGCAGGTAAACAAGAGTCATTGGGGCTTGGGCGGAAAATCGTCCGGGTGTGTTTGGGTTTGTATAGCTTCTGGCATCTAGGCGAACTAAAAGGCTTGCAGCTTCTCAATGGGGTTTTGAGCCCAGGGATTTGAGCCTGGAGTTCTGGTATACGGGTCGGGGATGAAGGGCTGAAGGTGTAGGATTTTGGGCTTTGGCATGAAACGGGTTTAGGGTTTAGGGTTTAGGGTTTAGGGATCAGAAGCAGAAGCTCGGAAGAAGATACACAGGCGTTTCAATCACGGCCTCCACGATTGCAATTCCCACAACTACACCAAACGGGCTTATGGCTTATCGTTTAGGAGTTCAGGGATTAGAGGACCCTCCGGTGCCAAACAGCAGCCCTGCAAAGCTCTCCCACAAGCTGCAAAGCCCTTGCAGAAGCCTATTACTTGAAACCCCCAGACCCAACGCCATGAAATCCGACTCTGTAAACCCAAAGAAATCCTGAAGCAGCTACATGTAATCCTCAAGCAGTCTGACACCGTCCTGGGAGCGCGGTTAGCAGTTAGCATGCAGTGGAGTGCCGTTCCTTCAACCCTATATAAGCCGAACCCTACAAGTAACACCCATAACCCGGTACTCCACTATGTAATTAACGAACTACCTCTGTCGCTACATGGTCCCAAACCCTTAACCCCAAACCCGAAGCCCGCCCCGAACTCTAAACCACAAACCACTCAGTCCTAAACCCTAACCTAACCCCTGAGCCCTTAAGCCCCGACCTAAACTCCAAACCCTGAATCCGTAAGCCCTAAACTTAGGCCCCAAATCCCTACGTGTCCCATGACAGTCCTCGGGCCGGTCTGAATTGCCACAAGATCGCCATTGCCCTTTACCTGGGCTTGTAAGGTGAGGATTTTGGGCTGAGGAACTTGAGTAAAGTTAATGAAGTTACCGCAGCAAGGTTTCGGGTTTAGGGAAACTTAAGTTGAGTCAGTATAGTATAGGGATACATACATACTGCATGCATGCATGCATGCATGCATACGAACATACATACGTACGAACGTACGTACCTATATACATATACAAACATATTTACATGCTTCTGTGTATATGTGTGGTCACCCCCATGACAGACCACCCCCTTTAAACACCCTGCTCCCACCGGCGATTCCGGCCTTCTTCGTGGGTTCGGGATTCACGCCCTGCTTTCGGCCGGCTGTAACCACTTAGGGTTTCGGCTTTAGGGTACCGCAAACACAACAAAGATTCACAGAGAATGCCGGAACTGCATTGATAGTGGTGTCTCGCTCCTCTTCTGTGTTCGTGCGGCTTCAAACCCTCAGCCTGAAACCAATAACCAAAAACAACAAACATCCGGAGAGAATGTCGGAGATCTTTGGTTTGTTGGATTTGTTATTATTGTTTTTGTGTTTTTTTTTGGTGGTAGGGGGGCGGGGCTTCGGTTGGTCTTTTGGTTTTGGTCTGCCGATTACATTGGGTATTCAATAGAAAATCCTGTAAAACCCAAACCGAAAAACACCAAAAAAACACAGAACCAGACAAACACAGTTTCAAAAGCACACAACGGTTCCGGCTTTATCTCTGGATCTTTGTTTTTTGTCTTTTTTTGGTCTGGTGCTTCATCTTTCCCTGCCGGCGCTCTTGCCGGAGATCCCCATACCAAAGCCCTAAACCTTAAACACCCTACGTATTTTTGAGCTACGGGTTTTTGAAAACATTCTGCTATTGAATACTCTGGTACCAGTCATTGTTTCAGAACAGGTTATTTCATACAGTTCTTGTGCTTCTACATGCCCATATGTGCAGCCGGGATTGCTAAGCCTCACACATGAGTAACAACTGCAACAGATCTCGCAGAAGTATCAAACATCAAACGTCTAACTAGAATAAACCATATCGTTGCTTGTATAGTTTGATTCTTAAGTATTCTGTAGTCTTTGCGAGCCGATTTTATATCTAGGTGAATAGTGGTTATGTCTCATAAGCTGTCGTAATAGTGGTTATGTCCCGTAAGCTGTCGTTAGTGCTTTTACACAAACAAAAACACTATTATTGAGCTTCCACTTCTTTACGCACCATCACCTCCAATACGGTTCCATTTGTTTTGACATCTTTTACCATTAACTTAATTAACTTAACAACGGTCTATTACCTCACTACTTCATGAAATCGTTTATGCAACACCCAGTCGTATTGCCAGATAAATGCCGGTATAGCTGTAATCTTAACACCACTACATGATTTGTTAAGTATATCTGTCAAAAGAACTGTAAATTCCGGCAATACCAGCTATTCGTAACAGTTCGGGACCCATTATTACAATTGTAGTTATCGGTATGTGTACTGAACTTATAATCGTCATACACCTACAGGCCTATTCGATCCCCGCTTGCCTTCTCAGTCATACCTAGACTGCGCATACATTCTGCTTTGCACGAACTATCCATTACCAATATCCCTGCAATCTGCCTCCTTCAGCATTACTAACCCAGCGAACACACTGTACCTTTGCATTTCATGTTTGTTACAACTTCCATTGTCCTGGGTTAATCACTCCGGTGCGACTAGCTCTGGGCAATCGGTGCATTGCTCAACAGTTGGTACTCACATTACTTCAGGCCAGCCAAACATTATCAGGTACATGTATCACTTGTTGAGTCCTGTGTTCATACACATTTTGACTAGCATGTAACTGCCACGTCTTCGTCCCTTAATAGCCACTCTTGTGCTTTAATAGAAAGATGGGCTAATCCGGCAATACGGCAATACATTGAAGCTGGGGGATTGGTATTTTCGAATATAAAAAACCATACCAATGTGTGGCTGCTTCTGAAATTTTGTATTTAGCAGCTTGGCTCTTGATATCTATTCCCTATGACAACAAACCTTTACATGCTTGTTCTGGGTTTGCTTCATCTGAAGTCTGTGCATGACTTACAGTACGGCATGTCCATTCCTTCGTGGGTCGAACTGGGTGTTGTCTTTGGTGTCAGATCAGAATGTTACACCTAGCAAGTGATGACCATGAAACACTGATGTATTCTACAACTGTGCTGTGGACCCTGTAATCGTACCGAGCAGAGGACTGTAATGTAAGCACCTGTTACAGCTATACACAAATGAAAACACAACAACTAGGGACCCCACCATGCAAACCCAACACACACATGAGTCGATATCTTACGTAATTATCTTACGAAGTGCTTAACTCACGTCAGCATATTGGGTGTGCCGTTTTTGTTCGGAATGTTGCCTTATCAGTTTTCGATTAGTTCCAGTTTTCCCATAGTGAAAGCTTCAGTCGTAGACGAAGAGGAAAGCTCCGTGCTTCATAACCAGATCGAAACAATCAGTGGACTGGTCTTTCAGTAGCATCTTCACGCAGAGATTATTGATTATTATCTATGTTTGTACAGGACAAGAGGTTGGAGTTCATCAACAAATGTTTGGCAATAATTTCGCACAAAGACTTGGCAAAGGGTTGAGTGCAAGCTGCGGGTCTTAAACGAGCCAAGGTTGAATAAACTATTGACAGAACGATAAGCTCGAGATACATAAATTGAAATCTTCAACCCAATGAGAGTACCTTTCAGCTTGTCTGAATTTAGCCACGTACATATTTTCCCTGTGATGGTCTGTTGGTGGGGAGTGAGCATATATGTATAAATAAAGAAATATATATATATATGTATACATACATATATATATATATATGCATATGCATATGTGTATATACACGTAGATGCGACATGCACACAAACACACACACACATACATGTGTATATATGCATACATGTACATACAGAGCGCGGTATATGTATGTATATGTGTTTATATCTATATATGTACATACATCTTTGTGTACCTGTAGATGCATGTATAAGCAATAAACGAGATCAGTTGCCCCAAACTGCCACCACTGGCCGTGAGTGTAGGGCAGCGCCGTGGGGTAGTGCGCGATCTCCTCCAAAGTCGGTGCAGGCGGGGTTTTGGAAGGTTTAGGGTTTATGGTTTAGGGTTTTGGAAGGTTGGGGATTTGGGTGTTTTTTTCCGGGGTTGTCAAGGTTTAGGGTTTAGGTTTCAGTTTAGGGTTTGGCTAAAGCTTAGGGTAAGTTTAGGATTTAAGGGGGATTCGGTATGAGGCTGATAGATTGGGCTTGCACCTTGCCTCACTGTGCAACTTACAACTGAACATTTACATTAGCATGAAGCCCTCAATGCAGGAGTATGCAGTGGTAGAAATGAGGCCCGCCAAGAAGTTGACAGAACGGCAGAAGAGGGAACCGATTTATTGGTTCATGCTTGTGGCTCAGTTATGCTCAGTTGATATAGGGATAGGTTTGGCATCTAGGCTGTGATGGCTTCCTCGCCGCACAGAGAGGAGCCCTAAACCCAAACATAGACCGTAATCGAATCCATCCTCATTACAAAAGCTTGGACCAACCCTAAACCCTAAACATTGTAAAGTTACGATTGTGTGCAGACTGAAGTCATGGCCCAGGAAGTCACAGTCACATGACACCCCGAATGAAAAAACGTCACTTCCTAAAAACATTCCTGTATCCCCAAACCCTACAAAATAGTAGGTTATGACCCCTTAATTATACTAGAGGGTCCTACCCTTAAAACGTAGGTTTTTGGATCCCCAGGTTAACCTTCACTAAACCCGAAACCCTGACTTCCTAGAACCCACGTCCGGCTTTTATGAGGCTTGTACGTTTAGCCAAGTTAAAAATTCCGCCCATGGCTTACCATCTTCAAGGCTCTCAGCACCCAAGGGGCTTTGGGTTTAGGGTTAAGCTCGCCAACTTCGAAAGCCTATAGTGACCAATTTTCCGAGATTCGAAACCAGCAATCCCAAACTCACCACCGAAAACAGATTCCCCACTCCCAACCTGGCTTCTATGTTGGACTATATTCGAACGACCCCATGAGTACGTCTGAACATTCACAAGGCTACTGTAGAGTGCTTGCAACGTATCATCTTTGGGACGTAGGGTTTATGCTATCGTACATGTAGAAACCCAAGAGATCAGATCCTTCGACCGACTGACGCAAAGGAAAGCTGTGAAAGCACACGACCCATACACAAAGGGTCCTAGGTACTGTTCTGGCCGATACTTTCCCAACTCACTATAAGGATTCCTGATGTAGAAACCCTACATACTACTTTCTAGTTACTTTGGACCCTTTGGGTATACTGATGGATCTCGCGGCTACAAGAGGACAGCCTTCAGCTGTTCGGGTATAAGGGTAGCAACTCCAAGGTCTTTGTACCTTAAGTGATCCCTATATGGGCCAGCTTTTCTTGTTGGGCACATGAACCCTTAGGCCCATCGGATGTGTTGCCAACTTATTCGGATGCGCTTGTGGATTGAGGGCGCCGGGTTAAACCTGACACCCCTGGACTCTCTCCTGCCACCTAACTCTCTCTCTCTCTCTATGCCCTTTTCTCCGTACTTGTAGTGCGCATATATATATATATATATGTATATATATGTGTATATATATATATATATACTATAAACACTTTTTTTGATTTATGCTCTCTGCCGCAATCCTCCATGTAGTAGGAGTTGGTACTGAAGATGGAGATCTCCGTCTTCCCGCTGCCTGGGCCCACAGATGCATAGTTCACGGCCAGGATCGGTTGGCTCAAAGCAGCAGACTTTAGGGTTTAGGCTTTGAGGTTTAGGCTTTAGGCTGTCGGGCTTAGGCTTTAGGCTTCAGGGTTTAGGTTTAGGGTTTTGGGTCGAGGCCTTCGGGTTTTGGGTCGAGGCCTTTGGGTTTAGGGTTTAGGCCTTAGGGCTTAGGGTTTAGGCCTTAGGGTTTAGGGTTTAGGCCTTAGGGTTTAGGGTTTAGGCCTTAG